AGGAGCATAAGCACTTATAATATTAACAATCTTATCATCAACAATAATCTTTAAAGCTATAATTCTATCTCCAATCTTATTAATTTTTATAACATTATCCTTCAAACTCTTATCTATAATAACACCTACACCATTTCTAGTACGACTCCTACCCGAATACCAAATTTTAAATCCTAAACTATCAATTTCCTTAGTCTTCTCTCCAACCCATTTAGTTTTCTGAATGCACAAAATATTTATCTTCCTATGAATCATAATATATATTAATTCCATTAATTTTCCTGTAAGAGAACCTATATTCCAAGTTCTTATCCTAATTTTAGATTCATTGACTAGCTTCTTTGCCCACATCCATCCTTGATGTGGGAACCCTTGCCTATTTAACACTACACCCTAAACATAGAAACTAAATTTCTTATTTCCTATCCACAACACCAATTCATTCACCCATCAAATATTTTCATTTTCATTTCTCTCTTGGCAGGTTACAACTTTGATTTCACTATAACGTTTGATGTCATCTCAACATCGACGTCTGACGTCATTACAACATCAACATTTCAAAACAATATCCATATCAAAGTCTAAAGTTGTCTTTACATTGATGCTCGATACTAGCAATTTCTACACCCACAATTTAGCATCTCACTTTGTTCAATGCCTTCTCAACATCCACAACCAACGCCCTCTCAACATTGACGATAAACTCTCTATTAACATTGACGCCCAATATTTTCAGCATAACATTAATTCTTGACTCTCGACAACATTGTCATCTCCTCTCTCGATGACTGATAAACGGAATCGACGTTCGACTCTCGACATTCTAATATTAATAATTTTAAGCACAAACTCTAGTTAAATGACTTATTATTTCTAAGTCTGTCATGAAGCAAACGACGGGAACATTAAATGAAGCAGGAGAAGAAGAAGCGAGACATGAAGCAAACAACGGGAAGATTACGGGAAGCAAGAGAAGAACTGAAGAAGAAGAAATAAATCGTTACCTTCGCTCGCCTCCAGCTATGTTCGAACTCGACTGAACTGTGGTCGTTGAAGTCGGAGGAGTTCTCCTTTCAGTTCTCACCCGAAGCAGAAGCAGGTATGTTACCCTAATACTCGACTCTTATACGACTCTCACCGCTCGGTGTATATACTGACAAATTGAAATTGACACGGTGCCTCATTTCTCTTCGAGGCGTTACATACCAAAGCCTACACCCCGAGCGAAATAAGCGCACGCTCCGCTAAAACCAACGAGGCATAAGCCTCAACGCGCAGATGCTTCGCCTCGCCTTGAGTCGCGCCTCAGTGTGTACGCCTCTCCCGCCTTTTTCATCGTTGTCCTAAATGGAACAAAGCAAATAAATCATTGCAGTTAAAGACTCACTATTTGGTTTGGCAAATTTTAACCGAAGTGTGTTCTGAGCCTCGGAGTCTATAATGTTAGTGGGAAGGGAAATAAGCTAAATTACCATTACACAAATTACTTTTTCCAGTAAAAAGTCTGTCACCATGGAAGAATTGCAAGAACAAATTAAGAAATTAAAAACCTAAGCATGACATGTGCAGCAAGCAGGCTCTTTCGTAATGATATAGTTAGGATAATATGCTATACCAATTTGTCATGCCATTTGATTAACAAAATACAACCACTGCAAAAACTCAAGCTCCACACCATAAACTGAGCGGACATTAAAACGCAATTTATGTATGAACTATTATATCCATTATTGCATCTTTCATTTTATGAAGGATACAATCACCTTCAATTAATACTGTAGTGTTACAATTAACTCTTATCAATGACGATATTTTTTGGTTAAAAACAAGCCTTAAACCCGCATTTATTTCAGCAGAGCAAGTCCAGGATGTGCAAAGCTTTCTAGAATGCATATAATTGCATCAAGAAAGCCCAAAACGTTTTGGGTCAAAATCTCCAAGGCTCTGCATTGTGCTGAGTGTGCATGTTTCAGACATGTTGCATTGTCATCATTTCCTGCATTTATATCAAGGAAATATGCACATACTTTCATCATTGACATATCAATGCATACACCTCCATTAGGTGCTAAAGTGTGTCCTTCAATTGATGTAGCTCCACCATAAGGCACAATGGGGACCTGCATTCCAAATGATAAATTACAAGTATTTTAGGCAGCATAATACAGCTAATGTATGATATGGATGGGAATGTCATCGGAAAACACAGGTAACAATGAATGCAGATGGAATTCAATTAAAATTTCTTATTTCGGAATGCTGATATGGTTGCCCTACATAAACATAAGCAAATCTAAATCTATGCAAGAATGAACTAACCATTCTTCTTATTGTAGACAATTGACCACCATCATATTTAAAAACAGCACAAGAAAGTCAACCGCTTAACTAAAGAAATAACAATTGCACCCCTTCAATTTGCAAGAGAAATCCTAAATCCCTTTGAGTTACTCCTCTTCTCAATATTTTGAAATAAAAGCTTATAGTTTTAAGGCAAAGAAACAATTATTGATCCTTCATAACTTATTAATTTAATCTTTTCCCCCACCATACCCATAATGCATTCCAATATAATCCAACTACAATCAAATGTTCAAGAAATTTTTTTTAAAATTTTGGGAAAAAATTCCAGATTTGTGATCCAACATGAATTTAAGATTATTTTCTTCATATTATAGTTTCCATAATTGATTAAGTACTTCTTGGAGAATGGCATCCATAAAACCAACCTCAAATAGTTGGGATAATCCTGAACCCTTGCACACAAAATATAAATATAATGCATTCCAATATATTCTTAATACAATCAAATGTTAAAAAAAAAATCAAAATTTGGGGAAAATCTCTAAGCTTAACAACACAAATGGACTTAAGAATATGCTCTTCATGTTACAATCTTCACAATGTATAAATTACTTCTTGGTGAATGAGTATTCATAAAGTCAACATTATGTAAATAGAATACAAATAATGATGATCGTAACATACTTCTTTGTTGTAAGTGTTAGAATAATTTGCTACCATTTGTCATGCCCATAATGCATACATTCCTGGTATAAATGTTCAAGACAAACTTGAAAATTGAGGGAAAAGTCCAAGTTTAAGATGCAACATAGGGTTGAAGAGTATTTTTGACATGTTACAGTTTTCATAATCATAATTGATAAAATTCATCTTTATTTGAAGACTGAGATTCATAAAACCAATTCCAAATAGTTGGAATAATCCTAAGCCATAAACCCAAAACATGCCCATAATATATTCCAATATATTCCTAATATAATCAAATGGTCAAAAAAAATGAAAAACTGAAAAAAGTCAAAGTTTAAGAACACAATATGTAATGAAGAATATGAATGTTATAGCTTTCATATCTTAACGTACTTTACGTGAAGGATGAGCATTCATAAATTCAACCTCAAATAATTAGGATCAAGTTAATGATGATTATAAAGTACTTTTTTGTTGCTAGTGTTACAGCAATGTGCTACTATTTGTCATGCTCATAATGCATTCCAATATTTTCCTAATATAATCAAATGTTCAAAACAAAATTCAATCATAGCATGGACTGAAAAACATTGTCTCCAAGTTATAGTTTTTTTTTTATAATTGATAAAGTACTTCCTTGAAGAAAGAGATCAATAAAATCAACCCCAAATAGATGGGAGAGGGGCGTAATCCAAAATCCTAAACCCAAAATATACTCATAATGCATTCCAATGTTTCACTAATATAATCCAATGTTCAAACAAATTTGAAAACTTCAAACAAACCAAAAAAAAAACCAAGTTGAAGAATACAATATATGTTGAAGAGTATATTCTTCGTGTTATAGTTTTCCTAACTTATTAGGCACTTAACTTGGAGAAAGAGTGTTAATAAAATCAACCAAAATAATTAACCCTACGATAATGATGATCGCGGAACAATTCAACAGTAAGCGAAAAGAGCCAGCAAAAAGAAAATGATACCTTGTACTTGTTACACGCAATGATAATCTTCTGCACATCATCCTGTGACCTGTTTTACGGGAAAGAGAAGAAAATTTAACTCTTACAAACTAGAAACTTCGTAGAATCTACAAGTACTAAGAAGGGTTCGTACCAAATGTGGCTTATATCTCGTTCTAATGGAAGTAACATTAATATGCCATTTCAAACTTATCACTAAATCAAACCAATTTAACACATAAGTAAATAAACTAAATTAACAGGGAAGCGCATAATTTATTAGTTGGAGCAAAGCATGAAGAATGAGTCTTCAAAAAACAGTTAAACGCATTTCTACAGGCCATGACCAAATAAAAATAAGAGAAGGGGACAAAAAGTTACAAATGAAAAGAAGAAAAAACAACGCTAAGCAAAAACCTAAGAGAAATAACTTGTTTATTGAGCCTTCATTTGATGAGAAAAGAAAACAAAAAAGCGTCTGACTAATCATTTTTGTCTCCAACACTAAAGAAAAGTAGGGCTAAACAATCATCGCATAGGGGGAAACAAACAAAAGCACAAATTTTAAGAGCAACTATTTTTTAGGAAAGGCATTATAAGCAAAAAGGTTAAAGAATCCAATAATTCATGCTATTCAAGAACAATTGTGGCTAAGATTTCAACAAAACTTTCAAATTCTTTCTCTAACAGCCATAGTCTCCCCAAATCCCAATGATACCATTCATGCTAGCATTTTTTCCAGAGTAAATTTACCCATAGACCACATAGAATCAGCAGTGGTTCCATGTCACTGGAAAGAAGGTAGCGAGATATTGCAATCAAATGTATCTCAAGCACACTAATTTTCTGTGCTTTGCTTTGTTGAATGGGAAATATACATGAATAATTAATAGCACATACATAATCTTCAGCTTACCCCATCACACTGTAGCCTAAAATCAAACATCTTCTACATAAGCAGCATTTTCCTATTAGGGATTATTTGGTTGCGAGTATTTGGGATTCTCATGTTTTTCAAATGCAACGTAAATTAGATACGTTATAGTTTGATTTCATAAAATTATTTAACTGATTGTAAATAATGTCAAGATTCATTTTTTATGTTTAGTTGGATGTAAATTAAAATCACTTGATCAAGAAATAATAATAGATTTTTTTTTTTAAGAAATAACTATATATCATGGTTCCCTATTTATTGAAATAGGGTTACAAGAATAAGGCAAAATATTTAAAATCAAATGAAATCCTATCCAATTCTAAAAAATGTCAAATTTAAACTTATTCTTATCCAAAAGAAAAATACATATCTAATGAAATAACTTTACTTTAATAAAAAAAAGGAATTTCGGTCATAAATAGAATTCGGCCTAAAAGGGCTTTGAAAATGTGTCAGGTTCAACCGCTCAACTATGCTATAGTCTGTTTTGACTTTTTATAATTAGCCTATAGATGATTTTTGTGTTTGGAAATACATAAAACACAATTCAATCAACGAGCTTAAAGAACATAAATTAAAATTAAAAAAAAAAAAAGATCAACTTAGAAAACATTAAAAAAAAACATTATATAGGTTCACCCAACTGATGACAATATTATGTTTATATATTTAACTAAAATTTAAATGTGTAGTTTTTACAACCCTTATTCCTTAGATTTAAAATAAATATAGTTCCCCAACCTTATAAACAAAAAGGTAGGACAATCAAAAATAAAATAAAATTATTTTTTTAAAACAGGTCATAAATATTAGATATCTTTCGAAGACTCTTCAACCCCTTCCAACCCTAAAAAGGTCAACATGTTACTAAATTTGTGCAGCACATTTTCTTAGTGGAGCAAAAAAAATTGGGCTCCACAACATAACATTATGGGCTAATCTGGACAATTAAATGAATGTAAGTTTTAAGGGTTGGCATTTATAGTTCTTCATTGATCACAACAGCACGTTGTTTTATAATTTTCCCATTTGGCATGCACGACACAACATAATCTTAGCAAGACCCATCTTAATTAAGGATAGTGAAACCTTTGCACTAGAAAACGTGTAGTTTATTCCAATGTGAAATACCATACATGGTAGCCAGATTTGACCGGTTCAATAGGTCCAATGAAACTAATTTTATAGGATGGCAAGCAGAGAGTCAAACAAAGCGCACAAACCCGTGCAAGCGGGTAGCCACTAGCCACAGCAAAGCACGCAAGCGGCACAAGCAAATGTAATCGTGTTCAATCAATTCAACAAGACAAGGGCATGCGTGCATGAACAGATTGGTGCATCTCCTCATGTGGCTTCGATCAATAGACAAGAATAAGGTAATTATGTCACCTCGTGCAGCTTGGATCGATAGAAAAAAAAGGGAATCACATGCATTGGGTGGCTTCAATCGAACGAAACAGAGAAGAGAGTTCGTGCGATTGTCTTACTACCATTCAATATAGACAAAGAAGTAGATGGCAATCTACCGAGCAAAAAATATTGAAGGGGATATCTTATTGTTCCATTCTTACCGAAACTCGAGTGAAAAAATTAGAAGAGTGAAGAAGAAGGCCCGTCCAATTGGTATTTCTACACCAACATATTTCAACTATCTTATGTAGGAATAAACCCACTCTCAGGTGGTTTAACAATCTTCCATCCATATGAAAGCTCTCCACATTGGCATCACTCCTCTTTAAATGAAAACTTTCAATATCATCAAGTATCATGAATCAATAATCCACTCAACCATATGATGACAGCATGGAAGTTACTCACAATTGAACTTTTTTGCTCAACCATGATAAAAGCTGGTCAAAACCATTAATATACAAATCAAATGAACCATTTGAAACAAATCATTGGCTCTGATACCACTTATTAGATTGTGAACCAAAGGTGAAATAAAGTCGGGCTAAAAAAAAGTTCATGTCACTCTTACCCCAAAAACATAACTTATCGGCTAAGGTCAACCCCTTTATATTAATCCCACTTTCACGTACCTTAATAGAAAATCCATGAGTGGGTTGTACTCTAGTGTGGCATTAGATTCATATATTTGTTTTTGTTTGCCTCTGTCAAGAGTAGCAAATGAACGGACTCCTATTATTGTCATAGTGTTGCCATAGCAGACGTTTTGGTCTCCAACATGACTTGAGCCATGCCATCAAGTAGGGATACGAGTTCATTATTTTAGAATGAAATCTTATCACGATCGATCAGACCATGCGAAGCATATCTACAAATTTTATCAAATCTAAGTAAGATTGGCATGTTTCCAAGGATATACTGATAGTTTCCTAAGATATCTTGCACGTCATGTAACCAAAAAATTGCCTTAATTACAAAACATTACATCAGATCAGATAAATCTATAAAAGATATTCCTTAACAAATCAATCAACGCGGATCAATCGAAAATCAAGAAGAAACAGACCTAGGATAGACAACCACATCCGGAACATTAACAGACTTGTGAAAGCTGTTCTGCGGTTTCCCATGGAAGTATCTCTCATCGTAGTCCACAGTCATGCCATCCTGCAAAGCCACCATTCCCACTAAGGCACTAACAATAAAATTAGCAAACAACAGAACCCCAAAAGCTAATCGAGAAATCTGAAAGGAACCATTACTTGCAGAATATTTCTGAGCTCGTCGAAAAACACCTTGGGTATCTCCTTACAGATTTCCGTCCTTTCCATCCCGCCATACCTGCAACCATAATCACGGATCACAGTAAATCGAAGGAGATAAGAGATGGAAAAAGGGGGACGGATGAGTACTGTTGATCGAGGAGAGGGTCGCAGAGAGCATAGGAGTGGCGGAGGTCGAGGGAGAGGAAGCTGGCGGAGGCGGCAAGAGCGATTGGAAGGAGGACACGAGGCAATGAGAAGAGCCGCCACCGCTGCTTGCCATCTCCGCCGCCGCCGTATGACGAAGCTGGGTGTGAGAGGAAAGCATCGGTGGCGGTGGAGGCCGCAGCAGCGGCGCTGGAGGAAGAACGTAGAAAACCTACTAAGTGATTCGAAGAGGCGGATGAGCGGAAGCGAGAGATGGCAGTGGCGGATAGAAATCTCATAGTGCAAAGAACAGAAAATCAAAAAACAGCAAGGTGGAGAAGGAAGAGAACCAAAAATAAATGAAAAATTTTTGTGAAAGGATATTATTATAATTAAGTTATTTTTATGACACATCGCTTTAGTTTTATATATTATATATTATATCTAAATATAATTAAATTATTATATATTATAATTTATTTTTAAATAAATATAATTAAATTATCTAATAATATAAGGATATTACTTGTCAAATGATCTAATTATATTATCTAATAATGTAATTGTAGCAAGAGATAACACCTAAAATATAAAATGATAATACTTGTCAAAAAAAAAATCTAATTATGATATCAAATTACCCTTCTTGAAGCTACTTAGCCTAAGAAAAAAGAAGGGATATATGCACTACATTTCTACAACACTTATATTATGCTTCTCTTTTAATGACCAACATTCTACATTATAAAACATTGCAAATCTCATGACTATCTTATAGCATTATCCCTTAGGTTTGATGGGTACTATCAAACAATGCGCCTGATACATTCCTCCAATTCAACTATTCAAGTTGCATTCTACTAATAATGCACTCATCTATTTCACATTGTTTTAAACAACATACCTGAGATATATAAAATATGTACTCTTTTTGATAAGCTGATCGTCCAAAGTCACAATTCTCTTACTAGATTTATTAATACTGATGTATCATCAAAAAATTATCTTGATTGGCCACAAATCTTGAGGCAAAATCAAGCCAGAAACTTCAAAAATTAAATCCGAGATCACCTGAACTCTGATTTCAGCAAACTTACAGTCAAACTGAGCATCTTGGAAATACGAACCCAACGACACCAAATTCAACTCAGTCCGAGCCCAAATGAGTCCAAATCAAGTACCCGAAGCAGTGTTGGAAAGTTCGTACCACAATTTGAGTTACCAAACGGTTTCCAAACATCACGAACTTATAGTCGAATTGAATGGCTCGACGAGACAAATCCAACGAGCCCAAGATCGCCGAATTCCGACATCATTAAGACCTTCAAATGTCTGATGAACGGTACATGATCAAGGGATTCAATATCGGCCGTCCATCGAATCACTCCACATTTGCTCTTGATCCTCCTCCTATTTACAGGCCAAACCACTCCCGAATTTCTATAAATATACCCCTCATTTCCCTTGAAAGGGGACCGAAGCAAGAAAGAAAAAGAAGAGAAGAAGAAGAGAAGGATAGGAGGGAAGAAACTGCTCGACCATCGCTAGAGTTTTGCCCGACGCCCAAGTGACGCCAGAATTCTGTCTGACACCCAAGTGACGCCGAAATTCTACCCGACGCCAAAATTCTGCCCAAGCGACGCCGAAATTCTGCCCAAGTGACGCCGGAGTTCCATCCGATTTCCAAGTGACGTCGGAATTCTGCCCGACTTCCAAGTGACGCCGAAACTCCGCTCGATCTCCAACTATCGCCGGAGTTCTCCCCTGCCGCCAACTAACATCGAACTTCTACTCAACGCCAGACCTCTGCTCTTCACCAGATTTCTACCCGACGCCGAACTTCTACCAGTTGTCAAATTTTTTGTCTCACATCTATCTGATGCTGGATTTCTATCCATTGCTGGACTTCTTTCTGACGTCATCCTTCTAACCTCCTTTGTTAGACAACGGTTTTTCCAACCTCTGTCGTCCGCCAACTACAGTCCTCTTGACTTACGTCGCCACTAACTACAGTTCTTCCAACCTCCGTCGCCTACTGACTACGGTCCTTCGGACTTACGTTGCACACCGACTACAGTCCTTCCAACCTCTGTCGCCCACCGAATATGGTCCTTCTGACTTACATTTTCCACCGACTATAGTCCTTCCGACCTCTATCGCTAGTCGACTATGATCCTTCTGACTTACGTCGCCCACAGATTATAGTCATTCTAACCTTTGTCGCCCGCCGACTAAGGTCCTACCGACTTACTTCACCCATCGACTACCGTCCTTCTGACCGAACAAACACGTCAACAGTAACTCTTTGTATTTTCATTATGTACTTCATATAATGTACATCAAGTCAAGACCATCCCCTAATGAAGGGCCTCAATTGTAATCAACTGCAAATAATAGTGAATTCATTCAAACTGGGCTAGGCCCCGTGGTTTTCCCCCTTTTCAGGGGTTTTATACGTAAAAATATTGGTGTCTCTCATAAATGCTACACTATCTCTCTCTCATCTGATTGCATGCTGGATTTTTGTATAACACTAAGATGCTAAATATTATATTTCTCTACCGTCGCGAATACTCCTGGACGCAACAGTTACTAAAATTATGCTCCATGTATTCGCTTTTAGATTTGCTCAAGTGAAAACCTTTAGAATCTAAGGTTGACATCCATAATTCAAGTTTCCTTCAGCTCCCTCTCTAATTTTATCAATAAAATGAATATCATCAGAAAAAAGCATACACCAGGGTATCTCCTCTTACAAATGTATGGTAAAAGCATCCATGATAAAGCCAAAAGATATGAGCTTAATGCCGATCTATGATGTAATCCAATTGAAATAGAATAATACTTTGTCAAACCACATTGTGTTTAAACAAAGTAATTACTTTGTATATATATATCATTAGTGACTTGAATTTAAACATCATCATCTCAATTCTTTTCTAAAACTCTTCGGAGTACTTCTCTTGAAACTTTATCATATACTTTCACTAAGTCAAAAATATCATATATAACCCACCTTACTCTCTCTATAATTCTCCATCCAACCTCTCAACTCTTAACTTTATTTTTTTTATATTTCACACATTCAACTTAAAGTCCAAAATTAATAAAATATACTGAATATATAAACTATCACTCATAATAATCCACAACAGCCTTTAAAATTTTCTACCACACGCCAAAATATATTTCTTTAAATCTCCTTCAATAAAAATTCTTTTTTCAAAGATTATTCTTTGTATTAATACATCTAAGTCATTCTAAAATTTAATTTTAAACATATCCAAACTTATTTGAGGAATATAAATACTTATAATATTATTAATCTTAGCATTAATAGTAATCTTTAAAATTACATTAATATAATGCACTAAAAAATTTATGTCATAATTATTTAATAAACTTTAATTAGTTATTGACAACGTAACAGCAACAACAGTTTTATTATAGCCCATACTTTTGTTTAGGCCAAAAAAAACAAGATATTCAAGAATTGCTAATATTTTACTTAATAATTGGCCACATCCAATTAGCTCAGCAAATACTATTGGACCACGATTCAAATTGGAAAACAACGCGTGGGAAACAAAATAGAAAATTACAAAAATGTACCATTTTTTAAGCAGGCCTACTGCCCACAAGAGTTGACTGTTTCAGATAAGATAGTTGCCCTATCCATCAAATATTTTATGATTTTTTTTAAATATTTTGATCCAATTTGATTTCTTTTAGGTGATTTTGATTTAGTTTTGCGTGATTTTTTTCAAATAGGAATATTTTTTATTTGTTTATTTTTACTGAAATAATCTAAATCAAATTGATCAAAGCTAATCAAAATAGAAAAAACTTCAATCAAATCTATATCTATAAATAACAAATAAAATTTTATCAACGTTGAACACTAAGGCTTTTATTGGGACAACTTTCTTATTGCTTAAAACAGTTTTTTATACAAAAAATAAAATATTTTAACTATAAAATTGCTTTAAGAAACAGTAAGAAAGCCGTACAAAATGAAGCAAAAGACTTTGATTTTATTTAGGACAGCTTTCTAATTACTTCTTAAAGAAAATTTTTAGTCTAAAAAGCTCCTTTAAGAAGCAATAAGAAGACCGTCCCAAACAAAGCCTATGTCTGTGACAATTTTTTAAAGCGACTTTCTAGTAAAAAAATTCTTGAATTAAAAATTTTTATAGTAAAAAATTGTTTTTAAAAAGCAAAAAAAAAAAACTATTCCAAACAAAGTCTAAAACTATTATGAAAATCATCAAATCACCTTACTTGAAATTGTTATAATGGGTGGAAAACCAATTTTAAAATATTCTATTAGACACTTAAATGAAAAATGATATATAAATTAAAAGGTAAGCAACATTTTGAGCAATTGGCATTCTTTATTTAAAATGTTAATAACAATATCAGGTAAGAGTCATGACTGAGTTAAAAAACCATATAAATCAACATCAACAAATAGTAAAAAATGAATTTAAAAAAATTAAAATATTTGAATCTTTGAATGTTTTGTTGCATTTACTGACAGCCACTGAAAAAGTTAAGGCAGAATCAAATAATTGCAAATAACACAATCACTCAAATACATGTTAAAAAGTATAAATGTTATAATGATCGGTTGGTTGAGAATTTTGACTACCAATCAAAAAAACTTAGATTGAATCTTACGTATGTAATGTGTGTGTTACTTTACCTTCATTGACTTAAATGTCCTGGAAAAACTTTTTTTTTTTCTTTTTTTTCCCTATACCAAAGAATCATATCATTCAAGTATATATGGAAGAGCACCATAAAGCACATTAATATAAAGTTCTTAGTTGTTTTCAAACCATTAAGGCTTCATTTGGAACAACTTTCTTACTGATTTCTAAAGCAAGTTTTTAATAAAATAATTTAGTTCAACAAAAATTTGAACTATAAAACTACCTTAAAAAATAGTAAGAAAGTCATCCCAAACCAAGTTAAAATTTTTTATTTAGAGTTGTTTGCCTTACTACTTAGCATTTTTATCTTTAACAAAATCTTTTTAAAAACATTTCTAAATTCTTCTAAGATAGGGGATTTCTAGTTTAATGTTTGTTCTCTAAAGCTTTGTTTAGGATGGTTTTTTTACTACTTTGTAAAACTATTTTTTAGAACAAAAAATTCTTAAAAACACACACACACACACACACACACACACACACACACACACACACACACACACACACACACACACACACACACACACACACACACACACACACACACACACACACACACACACACACACACACACACACACACACACACACACACACACACACACACACACACACACACACACACACACACACACACACACACACACACACACACACACACACACACACACACACACACACACACACACACACACACACACACACACAAGAAGAGATGTGGACAAATTCAAATAGGAACTGCGTAGACTCACAAGGAGCCAAATTTTGCCTAGTCGAAATATCACAATAGGATCCATATCACAATCTAGAGCTGCCAATATGAGAGAGACGTGGTACGTGTCCTCACTAACCGGTCCGGTTAGCCGCCAAAATGGCAATAACCGTTTGTTGCAGGATAAAACGGTTGACGCCATCGACGACCACGTGGGTAGGTCGGCAGTTCGAATTACCGCCCCCTCTGACCCTTGCGAGTGGTTTTTGCCTGCCAAAAGGTGCGCACCTGACAAGATACTCTTTAAAGTGGTTATCATGGCGCGAGTAGCCTAATAACGTTCCTTCATGCGCATCAAAATCCTTGAGATATGAATGCATGGCCATGTCAGTATGATTATAGGATCGCACAAAGCCCGCTCTGCGAGCTGGAAAGGTGGATTTCAAATTTTGTCCTTAGACAACATCCAACACCAGGTCTACTAAGGTCCCCATTGGAACGAAGCAAACGCACATGGGCTTGCCCTGACAGAGATACCTTCTGTCAGGATTGGGTCGATGACTAACTCCTCTGACTAAGTAGACGCCGGGACCACCGATGGGGCCCGGGATGACGATAACGTATGTCGAGATCATTTGATTTCGGGTTCGCATCATCGCGAGAATTCCCCTAACCATCGAGTCGTTGGTTAAGTGCAGGATGGTTGAAATTCCTACTTAAATATCAAACTCTCCAAAATTTCCAAATCCAAAACCGTAATTCTCAAATTCTCCAAATTTCAAATATCAAACTTATGCTGCTACTATTATGTCCAGATATCACCGTATCTTTACGTATCTGCATTGACGACTAGCCTAAATCGAAAGTTCTCATATCTCGTGATCGGGAAGGGGTAATTACTAATAGGAGGCTTGCGACATAGGAAACCAGAAACTCAGATCATAAAGTCCTCAAGCAAATGAGGGCGAAAATCTCTGGTAGTGTCTATCTATCACCCAAATCTCATAACGCCTTCCAAAATTTACGAGCGCACTGATCGGAAAACCCGTCGCCGAGAATAAAGCGAGTGGAGGCCCGAGGGATGCCGAATTTTGCGGACTCTACACTATCTCTCTCTCTCCTGCTCTGCCCCCTACAGTCAATTTTCTTTGAAGCTTCTGTCAGTTTCTAGTTCACACAACCAGACTACTGTACTCGGCGTTATCCACTGCTCTCTGAAGGGACCAGCTAGGGGCTTGGCCCTTTGGAGCCAAAGTAAGTGGTTAGTATGTCCCTGGTGGGACCTCCTGAGTGGGTAAATGTTTCCGCAACTTAAGAGCGTTGGATCTTCTGGTTCTCCAGCCAGCTGAGTCAACTCCATTGCCGTTCCTGGTCTCTCGGTCTCATGACCTTCACAGCATCCCTAATTTCTTGCTTGAGCCCCTCATAAAGTTCCTCCCGTCAACGTGCTGTTCGACCTAACCGCGCCTCCATAATCGCGCTTTACCAGACTCTCGAATTTCTTTCTGTATTTCCTCCACTGTCCCCTCCTGAGTGAGGGGCAATATAACTGCTCGGTGATCTTCCATGGGCTGGCCCCCCTGAATCTGCTCTCTGAATGACCTCGTCTTGAAATCCTCCACGTTCTCACCGGACTCCCACCTTATCCAATGTACTTGAACCAGGCCAAAAGCCGCGCCCTTCCAAGCACATGCTAGCAGCCCAAATCAATCTCTCCTTCCTCATAAGGCCATTCACTAGCAAAGTACACTTTGCGCAACCTTGTGGTGCCACTCCATCCTACATTTCCCTCTTCGAAGACAGACATTTTCAAGCTTCCTGCGCACCTCGTGTCCATCCCGTATGCTCTGTTCCCCCCATGGCCTGGCATACATATGGTTAGGCACCAGGCAATGAGGTTCTTCCAAGTTCCTCTTTCTCCATATCAGAGGCTCATCCTCCCTCATGGTCACAGGGCCCCAGTGGCGATGCCATCTTCCACTCGTACCGGCTTCGCGCATGGTGGTTATGGATCCCCCATGGCCGGGTTCGCTACATGGTCCGGAGCACTGCTGAGCGACGCCAATCTCACCTCTCTTTCTTCCCTGTAGAGGTCTTCCTTCTTTTTCCTGCTCTTGCATTGCCCTCTCCTGATGGACTCCCGATGAGCATTCTTACTCGTTGCTATCCAGCAGTCGCACCTCATCTTCCCACCTTCCGTGTATTTGCACTTCTCCTTACCCATTCGATTACCCAACTCTCCTCTTTCCCTCCGCTGGCACAGCTCCTTGGCTTGCCCTTCCAACAACTTTTCATCATCGTCCTCCAATGCCATGAATTTCCCTTCATATTCTCACTCAACGTCGCCAATCTTCTCCTCCCAGATCCGCCTAAATTTTTGACCCACCTTCGGTCATCAGCGAAGAACTTCTACACGTTTGATGCCATGGGACCAAAAAGAGGTCTCCGGATCCTTCCGAAAAAGCAAAAAATCTGCAGCGAAAACAGTGGAAAAACAGCCTCCCCAGTGCCCACGTCCGAATCTTCGCTCTGATACCATTTGAAATGTTCCACTTGATATTTCCTAAAGTGATTCCTATCGAAGATTCGTTGCCAAAACATCAAATATTCCACTGCTTGTTCAATAGAAAAAACAGCCACCAAAACAGGAGAAAAACTGAGAGAATAGGAGGAAAAATTTGTTGGAAAAACAATAGAATAGCAATTCGTATTCGCCCTACTTATAGTAGATGATCAAAAATCAAAAAGCCAAGATAAATACAATGTTCTTACATTCAAACGGGAAGAAGCAATCTCTTCCAAACAATCTACCGGCTAGACGCTCAAGAGCCCAGCAAGTGAATAACCTAGCATACACAAAAACTCCTTTTTCAACTGAAAAATCAAGATGATGAACTTAATCCCCATAACTCCTATTAGTCAATCTAAATTCAAATTAAAGCAAGGACTTCTCTACCCCTCCCTCCCTCCAAAACACTTAAACCAATTTTTTGA